TGTTAAAAAGAAGTGGGCTTAAATTACCCCCCTGTTTAACCCCACTAGCTGTTACAAATGGTTTAGTGTAACCATTATTTGTTTTGATAGCATAACTGGTATTACAGTACATTGACCTTGTTAGTTGGAAGAATTTCCCAGTAATACCTGCTTTCACCAGTTTATAAAGCATCCCATCGCGCCAAACACTATCAAAAGCTTTACGTAAGTCAACAAAACAGGCAAACAAATATGGAGTTTTACCTGCTTTATTGATATATTTATTTATTAGAGATTTTAGGATGAAAATGCTATCAGTTGTTCTATGATCCTTTCGAAAACCAAACTGTGTTTTTTGAAAATAATTTTGCTTATCAAGATAATTTTGCAGCCTATTATTTAGAATAATATTTAATAATTGTGATACAGAGTTTGAAAGAGCAATTCCTCTATAATTACTAACATCCGTAATTTCACCAGATTTATGTAATGGTATTAAGTAACTGGTGTTCCAGTGGGATGATCCGTAATTTCACCAGATTTATGTAATGGTATTAAGTAACTGGTGTTCCAGTGGGATGATCCGTAATTTCACCAGATTTATGTAATGGTATTAAGTAACTGGTGTTCCAGTGGGATGATCCGTAATTTCACCAGATTTATGTAATGGTATTAAGTAACTGGTGTTGCAGTGGGATGATCCGTAATTTCACCAGATTTATGTAATGGTATTAAGTAACTGGTGTTCCAGTGGGATGATCCGTAATTTCACCAGATTTATGTAATGGTATTAAGTAACTGGTGTTCCAGTGGGATGATCCGTAATTTCACCAGATTTATGTAATGGTATTAAGTAACTGGTGTTCCAGTGGGATGGGAAATTCCCATTTGATAGTATTTGATTGAACAATTTATTTATGCATAATTGCAGTTTTGGGGTTGAACAATTAAACATTTCATTAATGATTGAGTCTGGGCCAGGTGATTTACCTGTTTTTGTTTTTTTAATAGCCCAATTAATCTCTTGAATGCTAATTTCTTTATCAAGATCAGGGTTAATGGTTTGATTAACTTGGCATTCTTTAAGTACAGATTTTACCTCAGAATCAATTATTTGCAGTATCTATATTGTAAAGAGATGAAAAATAATTTGTCCATTCTGTAGATGAAATTGAAGGGGTTTGTTGATGATTTGTAGGATTATTAAAATCCTGAATTTGTTTAATAATTTTCCAAAAACTTGTAGGATTGTGATTTTCCAAATTTAGTAAATTTTGTAAGAGTTTTTCTTTGAACTTGTTCTTCTTTAGTTTAATAAGTTTTTTGTATTGCTTATTCAGTCTCATTCTCGCAGTTCTTAGGTTTCGGTCAAAAGGAAATTTATTAACTTTACTTGAGATATCTTTGAGTATTTTTGTTTCTTTTTCTTTTTTCTTGTGTCATTTTTCTTCTTGGTTTTAATTTTTTTAACAAATTTCAAAGCCTTATCAGCTGCACAATGAATGATGTCATTAAATGCAGAGACAGTACTTTCATTGGAATCAAAACTAGTTTCCAGAAAACTGGTTATTTTGTTCAGTGACTCAGTTGAATTTAATTGCAAGAAGAAATTAGGTTTAGATGAATTATCCCAAATGTATTTTTTGTAGGGATTTAATTGAGGGTCAGGGTTATGTTTATCAATATAATTTGTAATGATAGCCATAGATAATGCACAATGGTCCAAGATATGATTTAGCTCATTAACTGTGAAATATTTCACCTGTTGTAGAAATGACTTTTGCAGAATACAGTAGTCTACTTGACTGACACCATTATATTGATAACATGTTACCTTCCCTGACAAATCTCCTATTACTCTATCATTTGCAATTACCATGTCTGTAGTTAGACAAAGATTACATAAGTATTTTCCATATTTGTTGTTAGTATTGTCCATTGAATGTCTGGTATTGTCCATAAGTTGGGTATAAGGTATTAATATATCAGATGTAGTGTTCTCATTTTCAAGTGTATCACACTGACCTGCTGTCCTAGCATTCATATCCCCCAAGATGCAAACATTTCCATGATTAGAGAAATGTAGAGTTTCCTCTGTAATAATGTCAAACAAATCTTCACCTTTAATGTCAGTGTTATTATAATATGATGATCCAATGGGTGGGATATAAGTACTGCATATATATAGATCATTGTTTAGACCAAAGAAATCTTTGTTTAATTTAATCCATAATGATTCTTTGCATTTGCTTTTAATTTTGCCGAGACCTTTGCTTAAATTAGATTTGAAAATAATAATTATACCTCCTGAGGCTTTTCTAGCATTTCTATTTTTGGTTCTATCTATTCTATAATATAAGTAACCATCAGGAATTCTAAATCTATCACTACTTTCTAACCAGGTTTCTATTAAACAAACAATATCATGCTTTATAACAAAATTAATAAAAATACTATCATCTAAACATGATTTCAGTCCATGTATATTCCATGAAGCTATTTTCAATTGATGTTTATATTTGTCCATTTAGCCGCTATATCCCCATGGTGCATAAGGAAATGGTGGGGAAGGAAGATATTTGTTATTGTTGTACATTGGTATCTATGGCATTGATCTCTCCATTGGTGGTTGTGGTAGTTGCATTGCTGGACGCTGGTACCAGTTTGGCATTGGTGTATGATACAATGATGGGTATCCTTGGTTTTCAACAACATCATGGTTGTTTGTGTTAATGTTGACACTATTGTTGCTTTCAACATTTTTATTTTCCTCTTGTTTGGTGCTAGTTATTTGTGAGTACACGTGCAAATTTTGAGATGATTCTACAGTGTCACTAATATTTTCACTTCTTTTCCTTGCACTATGTTTTCTTGGTACAGACTGTCGTGGCGATTGTCTCTTTCTGGTGTAGTTATTGTAGTTTTGATTATTTTTTATGGCATGTATCATGTTTGATGCTAACACTTTTGTACCGATTTCGTTGAGATGAATATTATCTGAGTGATAGTATTTCTTAGATCCATACAATTTGTTGTGGTTAATAAACAACATATTGCCTTTACCTTCCATGTAGGATTTAACTTTCATGTTTACTTGTTTTATTTTTTCATTTATCTCTGGACTTCCTCTGGGTAGAATACCTGATATAATGACTGTTCCAGTCGTATTCATATAATTTTTAGCTTGGTTAGCTAACTGGATAATTTCTTCTGCAACTTCTTCACTCTCCTCATTATTAGCTACATCATTGCTTCCAACATGAAATATTACTTTATTTACATTTTTTAATGAATTATTTTCTATGTGGTATGCAGCATCACATATGGTAGATGAGCGAACTTTTATAACATTATGCTTTGATAATATCTAGTATCTTTCCCAAGTTACCTTCATTTCAAAGTGAGACGATTCTTGTGTTTTGATTTTCTTTTATAATTTTAGTATGCACCCATTAACATCTAAATTAAATTAGGCAGTTGGAACGTTAATGGGTTAATTAACAAAACTTCTAACACAGAATTTACCAGTTTCATTTTATCTCTTGATTTTATTTGTTTACAGGAGACTTGGTTAAATAGTAATAGTTCTTTTACTTTGCCTAGTAGCGTAAATAGTTTTGAAATTATTAGACAAGATAGAAATTTAGATATTAGTAAGCAGAGAGTTCCTAGAGGGGGTGTTGCTGTCTTATACAAAGCACAATATAACAACTACATTCACAAAGTCAGTAACTGTTCAAACCACTTTCTCTGGTGTAAGCTTGATAGAGATTTGTTTAAAATACAGAAGGATATTTATATC